TTTTAAATTCATAAATTTCATTGCAACCATAATAATTTCAGCCTCTACGTGAAAATCATGATTATAAAACACATCAACCAATGAATTTAATATACAATGACACGTCCTCTAAAAAAATTACAACTCAATATCTGTTGACGTCGTCTGTCACCACTTAACAGAAATGACTTAATTGTTACTATTTTTCAAAATTTAGGACCCAATTGAAACCATTTTTAACATGAGGACCCACTTGAGATTCTTTAACAAATATGAGATGATCCGAGGGTATAAACCTTAGTTTTTATTCCATATGTTTTTAGTTTTTTTTATTGTTCCATTGCCTTAAGTATATGTTAATTTCTAACTTGTTTTGATAACTTAAATTAGTGCTATGACTAGTGTAGCTTATTTTTCCTACTAGTTGTGTTGCTTAAGCACCATCCGTAATAATTTTCTAGTTAATCTAATGCTGCTAGCTTCTTTGTTAAACTCGTTTTTCCTGTTTTAAATCCATGTAAAATATGTTTTTCTCAAGCTCAAAAATCTCTTTTCTACCAAATTTGTGTTAAGTTTAATTGGTTTTGTTCACTTCAGTGTAGGTACTCCTTTGCATTTCTTAGGTTAGCTTAGCTTTAGTCTTTAGTTAATATGGTGGTTTATTGCTTTGATTGTTGTCTAAGTTGTTAATTTCATTCAGTTGCATAGTTTTTGACATATCTTAACCTAGGATTTTTGCTCTTTGCAGAAGTATTGTGTTATGTTTAATTCTTGTACATTTAGTGCTAGTCTGATTTCAGATTTTGGTTCATCTTATTATCACACCTTATCTCTTGATATGTGCTCCCTGGTTTGTTCAAATAAGCTCTAGCTGGTGCTAAATTTTCAGAGATCTTAAACTCAAAGTTTTCGTTACTAGCTATGCATTGTTCCATCATGGCTAAATATTGGTTCATTGTTTTCTCAAGCACCAACTAGAGCTTTTAGTGTTTAGTTCCATTTCCATTTTAACACTTGTTTTAGTTCTTAGTTAAGCATGCATTTCACTCAGTTTGTACTGCATTTCACATTTTCAGTTTTGCATCATATTAATTTTCTGTTTCTTTGAAGTCCCTGCATAGCCCTTCTTTTCTGCATAATTCTTCATTCTTAGCCTTGCAATATGTTAATTTTGTTGTTGTACATTGTTATGGTTAACTACCTTTAGCTTTCTTAATTGCATTTTACTTGCTGTTTTCATTAAACGCCGCCGCCCCCTCCCTCTCTTTGTCCTTGGATGGACTAACCTAACTTAGATCCTATACTAGTAAGAGAAAAACATAGTTTTTGTTTGATGAAGTTTGGTCATTATCAATACAAGGTTTGGAGGAAAGGAGGGAGATGAATAGTACTTGGTATTCGTATGGTAATGGAATAGGGAGCATAACTTATGATATGGTCTGTAGCAGAATGGATCTAGCACATGCTATTAGTGTGGTTAATAGATTAATAGCAGATCCTAGACGTGCTCATTGAGAGGCTTTGAAGTGGGTTTTGAGACATCTGAGAGGAACAATAGTGTATAGCAGTGTACCCATGATAGAGGGGTTTGTAAATGTTTTATGCAATAAATGTTGATACCAGAAAGTCACTTTTTAGGTATAATTTTACGTTGTTTGGTACTGCAATTTGCTAGAAATCAGTTGTGGTTGTGATTGTTGACTATGACAGTGAAAGTGTCATTAATCTAGTTGATCATCAAATTTACCACAGGAAGACAAAACACACAAACATTAGATTGCATTTCATGAGAGACCTTATTAAGTTTGGAGAGGCCAAAATCTTCAGAGGAGAATCTGCAAATGTATTTATAAATTCGTTGCCAAGATCAAGATTCAGACAATGTTTGGAGCGAATTAGTTTTTTTGTTTGAGAAGGAAGGAAGATGTTGATGAGAGATCTTACATGATTGGAATCAAGGTGGAGAATTGTAATTATCAACTTTAAATAATGAGCAATAGAGAATGTATTACAGAGTTGAGTCATACTCTGTTAGATCGTATGATGGAAAGGTATGATAGAAGGGGCAATAGAGATAATTTAGTAGTGCTTGAACAGATAGTCTAGTGCAGCATTTATTAACCACGTCTGTCTTAAGAGTTATCTGTTATTTCTTTGCCTTAGATTATATATATATATATATATATATATATATATATGTAAGACTATCTATGCATAAAATCTTTCAATATCAAAAATTACTTTCTTTCAATCTCGTTGATTGTGTTTTCTTTTTCTTTAATTATTATTGTTAATAACCAAATTAATATTTAATAGAATAATAGTAGGTGATTGTGCAAGTGAAAAAAACCTAAGATTTTGTATGTGACTTGTAAGTATTTTTATCAATATTTTTATATATTGAAGATTTCTCTAATTTTGACTAATAAACAACTCTTCCCGGAAATTGGATATACACAAGTGAAAAATTGGATTAATCATATAAATTTAATTTTTTTTAATTTTGGTTAAACTTTCGTTAGAATGTAAGAAATTAGAAGAATTACATAACTATTATTTTAAATTATATTAGGTTAGGTAAAAAAGAATATAATTAGTCCATTTTAATGGATTAGAAGTTCAATCCATTTAATGAAAATTCAATTCATCTATTAACATTTTTTCACGGAAGGCCATATCTATCCATATAGAAGCAACATTATGATATATTTATTATTCACTCTTAACTTTGGAAAAGAAGAATGAGATAAGTTTAATGAGTCTCATTAAAGGTGAAAAAAATTGATAAAAGAAGTTAAAACTATGACTTTTTTTATCGAGGTTCTTATTTATATATTTTTTTAAATGATTAATCTATTTTCTATACCTACATTAACTACTAAACATCTAAATATCTTCTCATATATACCTATATACATCAAAATATTTATACATATAATTATTTTAAAAACATATATATTAATTATAAAATATAATATTGATGAGATTATCTTGAGTAACATCATCTACATTCATGTAGATGCAACTGACTATCACAAATGGAAAAATAACACAATCACACAAAATAGGATACGTTAGAGTTTTAAAAATTTGCATACATGTATATATTAAATCATACACATATTATAATCACATATAATCCATATATTAATTGTAAGAAATATAATTTCAATTCATCTATTAAATATATGTCATAATCAAGTTTCTAACTTTCATCTATTGAATACCTCTCATGTCATAAGTTATTGACGTCATCATAACTTTTTAACTTTACTTTGGAAAAACTTGCGTTAAATTAGACTCAAAGATGTGTATCTCTTAAGCTATTTTCACTAAGTTTCACAAGAATAAAGCTACATAATAGGAACTTTGTCCACTCATATGACAAGGTAAATCTCTATAATCTAACAGAGAGTTCTTTCTCACCCTTCAACAATATCTATAAAGTCAAAATTCATCTTCAAAATCTCAAATTCAATTCAAAATCTAAATGTCGCAACATAGTACTTCCTCTCGAAAAATAACTATGTTCACAACACACCACATGTTTTCTTCTTCAATGTTAGTTGAGGAATGTATTTGAAACCTCAAAGAAATTTAACAAAATTGGATTAAAATTACTAAATTAACGTAGTTTTAATGAGGAGGGACTAAATTAGTCAAATATTTCAAAGAGAGACTAATTCTAATTTTCACTAAAAGTTTAGATACCAAACACATATTTAATCCAATATAATAATATGGTGAAAGGGAAACAAATATTAAAAATTAGAAACATTTAAAATGTTTTTTTCAAGTTTAGAAAACACTCTCTCACTTAACTATCACTTCGCTCATCCAAAGAAAAATGCCCACCCACTGAATTAAACACATGTTAAAATTCACTCAATTAGACGTGTTAGCACTCCTAACAACTTTTAGTCACCCCACAAACAAAGTGTTTGCTAAACAAACTAGGGCATTTTCATAAAAAAACATATTGTCCAACAAGAATTAATTCGCCTAGAGATAAAACCACTAGGAATTATTATTTAAACACTTCGTCCAGCAACAAAAATTCTTAAATTTTGAATTAAACTAAGAGAGAGATTTGCTCTCCCACTTACTACATAATTCATGCAATATATAACAGGTGATCCAATTGGTTCAAACTAGAATTTTTATTCTTAACATGAATAATTTTGTTTCAAAATAATAAAAATTTGAACTAATTTAACTCGAGTGAAATATTCTTATTTTTACCACTTAACATACAACAAATATCTCATTTTGAATTCATTCATTTAAATTAAACAATTTATCTCAAAATAAAGAACATTCAAGCAATACACAATTCATGCATAAAATCAATTATGACAATATGACCTTCAAATCTAGATCAACTATCCTAAGATACTATCAAAATTTAACTAGCTTCCTTAACCTGTTAAGGCTTATTTGATCAAGCTTAAGTTCTTAAATCCACTATTGTCACATGAAAATTAAACTTGTACACAAAAATTCTAATCAATGATTTTAACATACCTTTATGATCCTCGACTGATGAAGATTCATCTTTAAACGATAAATCTTTAAATGATAAACAACACATGCAAGCCTTATACCTAGGCATGTAACCATTTCCATAAAACCATCTCAATAGAAAAGGGTAAAGAGAAACTCACTGAAAAACGATTTCTGATCAGGCATAAATGTTGTACTCTCTCTAAAGTGGACTTTGATTTACAAAAGATGAACAAATCTTTTATAATTTAAAAAAGAAGACAAAATGTGATTTTAGAGGTGGTGGTTTTTAACAAATGAAGTTTGAATAATTAACTTTTTTTATTTATAAATTGTTTAGCTTAAATAATAAAATATTCATACTTTATCTTCTTTAAACTAGTTCTACTCTTAAATACATAAACTGAGTCCTTACAATTACATTCATCAAATGCCTTTGTGATGTGTTTGGATGAGAAGGTTTTGAACAATAAATACTTTGTATAAAGAATTTAAAATACTTTATAGATATTTATAATAATTCATTTTGACATTTAAGAGGAGTAATGCTCGAAAGTAATGGAAATTTTAAAAGGACAATTTCTATTTTATCAAACAATGACATGCCCCACATCAAGAGAGATTACATGCCTGGCTTCATTGATGTTCAAGCAAATGTACAAACAAGAACAATTCTTCCACTAAAAGGCAGTCATAATCTCAGCGGAACTATGTATCAATCTTTTCTCACCAAACCCAACTCATATCACAAAGAAAAGAGTAGACCAATCAGAATAATGGAGTTGCGTTTAAGTGTAGTAAGAAAATAAGCTTCTCATGTTCCAGCATGTCCAATTCCATTGACACTCACCTGATCACCACCTTCACGAGTGCTGAAAAAATTGGCCAATTTTTCTGAGACAGATTGTAGGCCTGTGTCCAATGATTCTTCCCCTCCATCATAATCATCATCTCCTTCAAAGATTAAATAGACCCCACATTTTCTTAACTCCAACCCCGTATCAAAAGGTGGATTTCTCTTGCTCACAGAAAATTTATCAGCATCTTTTAGAAAGGCTACCAGCTGATGGTAATCATGGAACCTACACAAGTGCATGTGTTCTTCATCTGTTCGAGGCACCCCACAGATGTTTAACACAGTCTTAAACAGAGTTCTTCCCCCTTTGAGAACATTTGCTTCAACATCAATCAAGCCTGGCATATCATCTCTCTTCATGTTGGGTATGTCAATGCTGTGGTTGATTGAAATAATAACACCAACAAGTACACTCTTTAGCTCAAGATTTTTACGCTTGGAAAAGCTCACAGTTTGCCCAGAAAACCATTCAGGTAATTTGCTTCCAGGCATGCTTAAGTTCTGTAAATTCCTCAGTGCAACCTGTCACATAAATACTCGTTGTTTAGAAGCTATAAGAAGCAATAGGAAATTATTTAGTCCTTATTTTTCAATTTATGTATATTTTGCAATTAGTCCATGTACATTTTCTATTCCTTTGACTAATTTACTTTTTAGAAATTAAGAAAAGAAAATATATTTTATTCTATTCCATTTTAGTCGGGATAGTGACAATCTAAGGTCACATTTTGTTTTATTCAAAGGGGACTAAAACCAAAATGTATCATATTTCTACTGTTCAATTTTTGTAAGCATATATTTATCCATCGATCCAAGGTTGATGAATAGGAAAGGGATGAACAACCTTCGAAAGTCTCTTTTGTATTTGTGAGGAGCATGCAATGCAACCACTCATGTACAACCTTCTCAAGGACTTCAAGCTTTCAAGACCCGGAATATCCCCCACTTTTACACAGTTTGTGAGATTCAACTCCTGCAGGCTCTCTAAATTTGACATGTCATGGATAGTTTCTAATGAAGAACAGTTTTGAACATTCAGCTTAATCAGGTTTGAAGGAAGTGAGGGGAGAGAGCTCAGCTGAGTGCAGTTTGACAGTGAAAGGACCTTGAGGATAGAAAGGCCCTTCAAACTGGAAGGCAGGCTGTGAAAATCATTCCTGTCTAATTTCAAAGTCTCCAATAGTGACAACTTCTCAAATTCATCAGGAATTTTCCCAGATATTTTCCATGCACGGGCATCAAGCTCAGTTAGCAAGGTCAGATTGCAGAAGGAAGATGTTAGTACAAAAGGGCTATGGTTCTCTTCAGGTTCTGCAAGGAAGCTACTTTCATTGGTATCTAATTCAGGCCTCTTTGCCATTTTCAATGTTCTCAAGCTTGACAGCATCCCAAAGCTTTCAGGTAAGCTTGACACAGTTGTTTCCTCCATGAAAATGTGATACAGAGATTTCAAATCTCCTATAGAAGCTGGAAGCTTTCTGAGCATTCTGCATTTGTTCAATCTTAAGTTGACAAGATTTTCCAGCTGCCCAATGGATTCTGGCAATTCTTTGATATTACCATTGACCGTGTTCAATGTAGTAAGAGATGCTAGGTGGCCAATAGATTCCGGTAAGTATTCAAGATTTTTACAATTCATCAACTTAAGTACCCTCAGTAGCTTCATCTCTCCAATCTCATCTGGCAAATTTGTGATGGCTGTTCCATCTAACTGAAGTTCCACAACTGAGGCCAACGTTTTAACTGAATTTGGCAATTGGGTGAGAAGTTTACAGTTTCCAACTGATAATTCCCTCAGGTAAGATAAAGAACCAACAGTTGTAGGGAGTTCCTTAATTGCAGTTCTATCAACCAGAAGTTCTGTCAATGACATGAGATTCCCTACAGAATCAGGAATAACAGTGAGAGATTCACACCCCATCAAATTGAGTGTCTCCAGGTTATTTAACGATCCCACAGACTCAGGTAATTCTTCCAACCCAGAGTGATATAGAGATAATACTTGCAAAGAACACAGGTGTCCTAGAGAATTAGGTAGCCTTCTCAAATATTGGCAACGTTCTAAAACAAGCTGCTCAAGCTTCGTGAGGCGAAAAATGGACTGGGGCAACTCTGCTATTGCAGTGTCATTAGCATGAAGTGCTTTCAAGGATTTCAGGATTCCAATATTTTCTGGCAACGATTTTAACTTGGAGCAGCCAGAAAGAAAAAGACTCTCCAGTTGTTTTAGCCCCGAGACATCAATGGGAAGGTTGATAAGGCTTGAACAACGCGTTAAATTTAAACTACGCAAGGTACTCAAACAGCCAATTGATTCATGAATCTTAGTTAGATTAATGCAGTTCTCCAAATCAATCTTCTCTAGACATTGACACCCAGATAAGTCAGGTATAGCAGTGAGTTGGATGCAGTTGGAGAGGTTCAAGACCATTAACTTCTGTGGCACCTGCTAAGCATTGTCATGTTGCACCATGTTATTTATATGTATAGTGAAGCAAAAGAAAGGGAAACACGTCTACAATAGTTTCGAAAGAATCTTATGATGTATGTATAATGATAACCAAATTAGATAAATACTCCATGACCACTTCAATTTTAGGCAGGTGTTTTTATAATAAGAATCTTTAAAATAGATTTTTGAAAATAATGTTTCATTAAGTGGTTTGACATGTGTAATTCTCTTCTTATCATAAAGGATTATAAGAATTGTGTAAAGAAAATAAGTGTCAAGAACCTCATCATTATATCATATAATACCATGTCTTTGGTATTCATACTACACAAGATAGCTAAAGCACACCTTGTTGTGACCATTCCATCCCCACAAAGTTTCCATTTTCTTGCTGTTTTTGAGATCAAGGACAGCCAGCTCTCCTGGCCAAGATTTCAAAGGCATGCGTTCTAAAGGGCACCCTTGCCATTGTAACCACTTCAGTTCAGATGGAAGAAACTTGCCCTGTAATTTCAGATTGTTGATCTGAAGTTGTCTCAGATTAACCATTGGTTCAAAGGATTTCGTGTGAAGTACAAACTCTGTGTTTTCCTCTGCTTGAGGTTCAGGATGATTCTTAAGGCATTGTTTGATGTAACATGATATATTTCTTAAACTTGGTCTCCATTGAAACTTCTTCGGAAAAACTGATCCGAACTTTCCCTTATAAAACCTTTCTTCCTCAAAATCAAGTACAATACCTTGAACGCATCTAGTTCCCTGCATTAAAATATAGGATATTAAAAGATCAAACCTTTAATCAAATTAACGTATTGAAATGTTCCAATCAACAAATACCATGCACACCAAACATTATTCATTTATTAGTCAAACAAGGACGCGAAGGTATTACATAAAATACATCAAAGGATGCAAATCTGAGTTCTATAACCTCAAACATCAAAATTGACACATTATTAGACAATGTTTTTTGTTTTGGTAGGTCATGAATAGACAATGTGTGTTATATGTATCTCTCACTTTGTTGTATTACATGCATCTTTAAAAAATATTCTACAAAATCAAAGGAAACAAATCGTAAAGGTGTCGAACAAAAGATCATATTTTTTTATAATCAACCAGCATCTCATTACTGAGAAAGCCCATTTGTCTATTTGTACTATGTCTTCTGTTTATATTTATTTGTCTTGCCCTTTCTCCAGTCACCTTTTGAATAAAGAATGAAAAATGATTTTGGACTCTGCTAGTTTAAAGCTTTCTATATTTATGCAAATATTTTAGTACTGTGGCACTTCGTCGTACAAATAGAATATAGTTTCTAGACATTAATCAAACAAAGTCGTGTGAGACAAGGTGTAATGCAATATAATTATCATTACCTTGTGACCCTTCAACACAGTCATGATTTGAGCTCGATCCCACAGTCTACTACGCGAACCAGGATCCACAAAGCTTTCATCCATAACAATTTGCCTTCCCATGTCTCTAATTTGATCATGCATCCACACAGTATTATCCGGAGTGATTTTCATCAAGCACTTCTGCACTAGTACTGTGATAGCAATCTCACCCCTGAAACCACAACCTCTTAACACATCAATCACACCATCACGCTTCATTTTCTTTTGTACAAACAAACAAGCAATATCAAGGAATATACACTTCTCTTCTTCATCTAAACAATCGTAACTTATCTTCAACACATCCTGAAGATGGTGAGGGCGAATTAGCCTTAGCTTCTTCACAGCATCCTCCCATTCCTCCTCCCTCCTCTTACCAAACAAAAACGAACCAAACACTTCCAGAGCCAAAGGCATTTTTCCCGTCAGGGATATTATCTCCTCTGATAAACTCAGAAGATTTTCTGGTGGTGCACTTCTTCTCAGTGCATGATAACTGAATAACTCTCGAGCTTCAGAAGCATACAACTCTCTAACTTCATACGACACAGTTACATGATTCTGAGTTAGAACTTCTGTATCCCGTGTTGTGATTATCACACAGCTTCCATCGTAAAACCATTCCCTCTTACCAATCAAAGCATCAAGCTGCTTCACTTCATCGACATCATCCAAGACTAGTAAAACTCGATTCTCACTAACTCGACCTTTGATAGCAGAAATACCAACATTGACATCACCGATGGAGGGAGACCCTGCTCCAGGAAAAAGGTCTTTAATGATTTTGCTTTGAAGGGAAACCAAACCATCGTGTTTTGATGAAACTTGTCTCACGTCGGAAATGAAGCAACGGTGCTCAAAACGGTTAACAAGGGCATTGAAAAGGGCCTTGGCCAGGGTTGTCTTACCAACCCCACCCATCCCATACAACCCCAAAACCTTGACACCATTGGATTGAACTTGCAAAACTTCCATCACCTTCTCAACACGTTCGTCAAGCCCCACTGCAAACTCAGGCACGCCCATAGGAGTGTTACTCAACTCTTTCAACACCCTTCGTACCAAACGCTGAATCAGATCATTTTCCTCACTGTCACAAATCAATAACTACACAGCATTCACATCACAAGAAGGAATAATTCCATGTTCTAATTAAATTGTTTCATATTATTATAGAAACCAAATTATCCCGAGACTCCTCATGTTTAGTCAAATTTCCCTTTATTTTTCTGTTTATTACATTAACCTTCTTAATATATTATTTGAAAACCGCAACACACTCTATTTTCAACATGGGTCAATTAAATTTTCATAAAATTTAAATTTTTTCCTTGCAAAAGTCATTCTTTCAGTTCTTGTACACGACGGCAAGGTGTTCCCGCAGTCAATCTTTTCATTAGCAAAAATTAGAAACAAATTTGGAAAACGTTGAACGGCATGTAAAATCATGTATCTCACTACTTTCAATATAAAAAAAAAAAGTTTTTTTAGCGTAATTGCATTTAAAAAGAAAGGGCAACGCAAAAAAATTGAAAAAGAGAGCAACGCGAGACACCTGTGATTAAAAACCCAACCAGCAATTCCACCAACTTTCTTCAACGCTTCCTTCCATTTTGAAACCGTATTTTTCTCAAACCTTTTTTCATGCGATTCGAAACCCGATCCGAAGGGACCCGATACGTGTCGGACCTGCGACGGGTCAACCCGGTAGAAAACGGGCAAGAGGAGTCTACCGGTGTCGCAAATCTTGGTGAGTTCCTCAAGACACCAGTGTGAAGAAGCGTAGTTTTCAGATAAGATGACGATGAACGCTGCAGAGTCATCAATTCCCTTCATCAGCCCATTCGCTACCGCTTCCCCACGCTCCAACCCCTCGTCGTCCAGGAACACGCGAACCCCACGCGTCTGCAGACTCTTGTACAGACCTTTCGTGATAGTGCCGCGCGTGTCGGTGCCTCTGAAGCTCAGGAACACGTCCCACCGCAGCCGGAACGCTCCCGGCGTCGCCAATATGACGTCTCTTTCCGGTGACATCTGTGGTATGATCGTTCCAATCTTACACTTCCTTACTCTACCCAGAATTTGTCATACTATTCTTAAGAACTTATTTGCTGGCCAAATCCCATTATACAACTGTAACTTCTCATAAATTTCTGAAAATCTCATAAGATCTCTAAAAGAAGTATAAAAATAAATCTAAAATATTTTTAGAAAAGAAAAAGAAAAAAACTAAGAGAAAAGAATGAGAGAAGAGTAATTTCTGATGATGTTTAGTGGAAGAAAGGCTCTATTTATAACACAATTATCCATGTTTTGGCGTTGAATATTATGCTGCCGTGTCTGCATGTCTCTAATTTCTTCAGTCATAATGCATATTTCTTCTACTCAAGCGTAAATAATTGAATTTGGTGGATATACGTAGTTTTAGTGGGGTTGTGATGTTGAAAAAGAATTTGTGAAAAAGACAGCACTGATAATTAACTTGTAAGCGGTGCAACTTTTTTTCTTCTACTTTAACCTGCGTTCGCTGTCAAGTGACCCAAATTCAAACGCATGTTAAGTTCGAATCTTTAAGATGTTATTGGTAATTAAATTACGGATTTACTATGTGTTTGCATAATCGTTTGTACATGTTTTTAAGCATTAAAAGTGAGTGTGAAGTAAAAAGTTTTTATGTTGAACGAGTGGGAGGAAACGAATGTGTTCCTTCATTGTTGATTCTCATTACTTTCCCTTATCTTATTCTTTTCTTTTTAAAAAGACAGAAATTCACTTTATAATGTCACCCTATCGTTACTCAAGACGAAATTGAGGTGAGAGAGATAATGAAGATAGGCATCAAAAACCAAAACCCGTTTAGAAGGAAATGGCCTTTATTGTGGTTCATATCAGCCAAGCTCACTCAAGGAATGTTTCCCAGATATATCGTTAACATCTGTTTCATCCACAGATCGGTGCTGGGCTTATAGATTTAATGAATATTGAGCTTCCTACCACACGACCCCTTCAATACTAAACGAGTCTTTTCTGAGAATTAACATAATCAATCTTGGGTCTACCATCATACAGCTCCTTGGATCATTATTAAATAATAATACAGCTCCTTAGATCATTATTAAATAATAATATTCTGTACAAAATTTTAATATTTTTTTTAAAATAAAAATATTTTTTATTAATGAGAGCATATGTATGCATAAATACGTTCTTATTTCCACATCACAAGTTTGTTGTTAATATTCACTATAATCTGTTAAATGTCTATTCCTCAACCCTCACTTCCTCTACCACCTCCATGTGACTTCATCTTTCCGCCGCCTCCCAGCAGCTTAATCCTTGATTCCTCGGCGGATTGTTGACCATATGTAACATTGAAGTTTCTGTGCTTCTGTGCCCACTAAAACATTATTTTTGTGGGTTGAATTAGAATAGTTTATGATTGGTCATCTTTTTGTGGTATTTTAGACTACAAGTTGCAATCTATTTTACCAATAAATATTACTGGGAGTCACGATTCACTCATATGCGACAAAACTGATGCCACATGGGAGAAAAAGACATTTTCCTCCATGTCAATATCAATTATCAAGCTCCAAATTACACTCTTTAAATAATTTGTTAAGAAACACTATTCACCATTTTTTTATTCACTTAAACAAAACTTTCAATTGTGGCTAAATTTGATAGTTTATATCATATTTTATCATGGGTTAAGTTTAGGTTTTTCAATTTCAATGTGTTTCTGCATATAATTTAAGGGTTAAGAGACACACCTTTCTGTTGTCGTCTTACTTATTCTCTTACCTTTGAACCTTCTATTTCAACTTCTTTCAGTCCGAGCCGAGTAGGAGGGTACCTCACGCTCAAGTCAATGACTTTATCCTTGCGGCTTAGCCTTCTATTTATAAGTTATTTCATGGATCCTAAACTAGCATAGGTTCAATAAAACGAACTTACCTTTAAATTCAGTATGTTACTCATAAACAACTTCCTTATCCTACAATCAGTTATCAATATCATTAATCAATATCTTTAATCAATCTGTTATTAACTTATTAGTTGTTTATTTACCCAAACCATTGGTCCAATAACAATATCCTGAACGCTGGTCCAATTATGGCCCAACATCAATAACTTAAGCGTTAACCCAACATTTAATATGCTTAATTGTTGATCCAAGGAATAGACCGACGGTTACGAATGATAATCGCTCGTTCTATCCTATATACCACACATATGCTATTTTAGGATTCTTATCCCTTACCTTTATGTTTCTCGCATCTATTCTATTCAATTTAATTTTTTGCTATTTGTGGTTAAAGCTGTAATTCTGAGTCAGATGAGCATAGAATTGAATGATTGAATGAGAATTATCACTGTAAGTTCTATGAACTAAAGAGACCTCAAAGAGGGCTTGACTTTACAGAATGTCTTTTTGAGAGTAATTGAGATTCTTTGTCCAGCCTAATGCACATTTACCCCAGAATTTTGCTTTTACCTAATGTTCTTAGTTTTGTTTCCATTTGAATTTCTTTGTATCACTGTTGAGTAGATCTTAGGTTAGTTTGAATGTTGATATCCCTTGTTTCCTTTTAATTGGTTATGTTATATGAATTTTTATATTTGTTAAATTGAGCTCTTTTGATTTCCAGATCATGTATATAGATAGTGTGCATTTAGCATTTATGTTCTGTTTGCATCTATTCCTAGTTTTCCATTTTAGTTTCTTTTGCTTATTTTAGTGATTCATAGATTTAGGTTCTGTTTCACCATAATCATTGCTTCATTGGCATTGCATTTTAATTGATACACATATTATTCCTTCGTTCCAGCTTAGGTTCATATTTGCATTATGCATCAATCTATATTAAGTATCATGCATTGCATAGTCTTTAAGTTTCTTTCTTTAGATTTAATTTTTCTTTCCCCACCTAGTTTTAGTTTTATTTTTAAATAATTAGGCTATAATTCTACATTTCTAAACTTAATAAGTACCAAGTCCACGGATTGATACCCTAGGTTGTCCCTATACTACATTAGTGGGGAATTTAGGTTTGTTGAGATTTTAGGCGACAAAAATCTGTTCAACAAAGGTAAAATATTACTGAGTTGCACAACATAACGAACAACAAAAGACCAGAAAATTATGGGCAAATGGGATTGAAACATTAAAGATCTAGCAACATTGAGAATGTGTTGATGTTTTCTCTCAATGACTCCATTTTTGTTGAGGTGTTTCAAAACAAGATAATTGATGTTGTATCCCTTTTTGTCTATAAAAATCTGTCATTGCAAACTCATTACCATCATCTGATCTAACAGCTTTTACATCAATGCCAAATTGTGTTTTTATATAAGAAACAAAGCCAATAAGTTGTGATCTTGTATTTGCTTTACTTGCCATTAATTTAATCCATATGTATCTAGACATATCATCCACTATAGTTAAGAAATATTTGAAACCATCAACAGAAGAAGTACTATAGAACCCCCAAATATCAACATGAATTAAATCAAAAGGAGCTTTTGAAACAGTAGTACTTAATTGAAAAGACAATTTTCTTTGCTTAGAATAATGACAAGCATCACAATAAGTGTATTTTGTATTGGGTAAAGTGACATACATGTTGCGTAATTTGGTATAACAAGAAAAAGAAGGATGCCCTATTCTATAGTGCCAAATATCTCTAGAGTTATGTCTTATTGTAGAACAAGCAATAGAATTCTCAGAAGTAACAGTAGCTGATGAACCAAGGGGTGTGGGTGCAGGAACTATCATGACATACAAGCCATCTCTTTCTTCAGCTTTCCCAATCATCTACAGGGTTGACTTGTCCTATATTTCACAGTAAAATTCAGAAATGTTAAGTTTACAAGATAGATATTTAGTTAACTTTGTGACTGAAATAAGATTGACAGAAAAATTAGGAATAAACAAGATATTATGTAAAGTAAGGTGTGGGCTAAGTGAAACTGTGCCAGAAAAATGAGCAAATGAAGAGTTCTTGTTGGGTAGTGATACTGTAATTGGTGAGATTCTATGATAAGAAATAAAATGAGACAAAGAATTGGATATATGATCAGTAGCACCTGTGTCTAGAATCCATTGGGAATAAATATTACCTTGAGCCTGAGAAGAAGTGGAAGCATTATGAGAGCTCACTAGATTGGTAGAATGTGGAACTGTGGGATTAGATTGAAGAAGAAGTGCCAATAAACCATGAATTTTCTCTTGAGAAAGTCCCAGAGTTGAGGAATGTGACTGTGTCGGAGAATTATTATAAGAAGGAACTACTGTAGAAGAATCTGTGGTAACATTGTGGACTCTTTTGGATTTGAGATCAGGTGGTAATTCATGTATTAGAAAGTAAGTATCAATGGTGTGGTTTGTCCTGCCACAGTGAGTGCATTGTCGAGGTGCACCAAACCTTCCCCCTGAGGAACGAGCCTGAGAACCTTGATATGAAGATCTTCCCTGGCCATAATCATTGGCAGGATAGGGTTTACCTCTACCATTGAAGGTAGAAAAAGAAGGTTTAGATTGAGAAACTTGTGACGCCATGACTGGAGGTTGAGAAAGAATTCCTGATTGTAATTGTCGCTCATGTTGAATTATCATAAAAAAAAATTTGGGTAAAGAAGACAAGGGATCCATGAGAAGGATCTGAGAGCGAACAACAGAGTAATTATCATTCAAGCCTCTAAGAAAACAAAGAACACAATCATTTTCACGATATTCTTTCATTGTCTTATAAACAACACAACAAGAAGCAGAAGATTGACATTCAGGAATTGGGTGAAAATTTCAAAGTTTTTCCCAGAGAATCTTCATTTTTGTGTAATATGCAGTAACACTTAGGTCAAATTGATGCATTGAATAAAGATCTTGATGCAATTGTGAAATTCGAACAGAATCACCTTGGGAGAAACGATCTTTGAGATCCTTCCATGCTACAGCGGTAGAGTCAATCCAGATAATACTTGTAGCATTCTCATGAGAAACATAATGATTGATCCAAGATAAAACCAGATTATTGCAATGCTTCCATGCTGGAACCATGGGATCTGTATTAGCTGGACAAGGAATGGAACCATCAACAAAGCCAAATTTATTCTTCATTTGTAGTGCCATGGACATCGAGCAAGCCCATCCATGATAATTATGACCTTCAAGAATTGGGGAAACAAGCACCAGTGAAAGATTCTCGTAGGGTGAATGTATCTT